AAAAGGGCCCAGACTCTTTAGTTTCGACCTGCTGGCAAAAGAAGCAAGCAAATCTCTTTTTTTTGGGGGGAGATAGACCCCTCTAATGCTTCCTCAAGGCTACACGAGTGGGAAAAGCTAAGTGCCGAAAGATTGCAGTTTAATTTATGATGACTATAATAATAAATTAGAATAAATTATAATAATTAATAACAGAAATTGAAAAAAGGAACGCTGAATTGGTATGTTTTGGCTGATAAACAGTCATATTAACAGTCCCAAGTCAGTGCCACAACTGGATTTCGTCAGTACGATGGTTGTAGTGACAAAGTCATAAAGTCACTCCCAGGCTGACTCAGTTCTCCCCCTTTATCACGGTACTCTGTTCAAATCCATCAGCTTTTGTAGCATTTGTTTGTACTTGATCACCGTTCTCGGCGAGACGTAGCATTACTAACTCAGCGGGAAATCTGCTCATGAATTTTTGCATATACCATACATACAAAGCCCTCGGGCTGAAGTATGATTACTCCTTATCTGTGATGTTACTGGAATACTCCCACACCCTTTGATTTTACGCTGCACACCTCCAGTTAGTACCCATCGCCTGTTCGATGTATCTGCGCCACCTCTTTAAGAGCCGCTCAAGTCTTTCTCACGGATACCATATTAGTGATAAGTATTTTTGCTTATAAAAGTCCCTGCATAGATTTGCATATAAGTATTGTTTTATGGTGCATTCGGCATATAAAGACTGTTAAAGTCCGTTCACATTTCCTCTGCATCCAGTTCCCGTAGATCCTCCAACAGAATATGCAATTCTCAAAAGTGACCACTTGCGCTTCTGAAGGGCTCCCTAACAGAAATTGGGTCCACCGTGTGGCTACATTCCAGTGATATTTGGCTTTTTTTTATGGCGGTGATTGGCTGTACTGCAGTAATATTCGAGCAACGCAGCTTTACTCGGAGTTCTCCGGCAAAAACTCGCCCATATGCGGCCAAACTTGTACAGGACTGGCACCTATGAGACAGTAAACGACCATTTGGTGGCTCCTCTCGAAGAGACATCGAACAGACGATAGGTACTTATCAACCCGGGACTGAAGCACCTGGCATTAGCGGCGACTGGGAGCATCCCAGTAACATCACTAACATGAAATATCGGGACTGGCACTAGCTAATGTTCCTAATACGGAACTTTCTCAGTTGGTGAGGGAGCTGTATGGAATTTCCTCAATATTGAGGATGCTGCTGTTGCAGTGAGGGAAGTTATTGGCTGCTGCTGCTGCTGCTGCTGCTGTGCTGCTCTTTGTGTACATTTGCGTGTACAGGGACGATGAGATGGATGGATGGATGG